TGAAAGGAAATAAACGAGATTATCTACAGGCGATAACAGTTTGCGTTCATAACTTTACGGGGTTAATGGCAATATCTGCTATATACTGGCCGCCAAAACATAACAACAAAATGGAACAATACCAAGATTTTCTCAAATCGCTGGGTAATAGATATATAGCTGGTGGAGACTGGAACGCTAAACATACACAGGGTCATAACAACTAAGGGCAAGAAATTACTTGCAGCCATATCAGATAACATACTCTGGCCATATAATCATACTGGCCACTCTGGATAACATATACTATCAGAACTTAAGTCAACATACTTAAGTTCTGGCCAACCAACCAATAGGCCCAGCGATCCAAGAAAACTGCCCGATCTACTAGACTTTTGGAACATAAAAGGAATCTGTAAAAAAATATTTTCAGGTGGAGTCTTCTCTAGATTTATTCTCGGATCTCTCTTCAATCATAACCTCACTGTCCATTCAAATCATTAAAATCCGAAGGCAAACTACTCTATATAACCATAAAACAAACTGAATTTTGGGAACACTTAAATTCACAAATCAATCTGCAAATTCTATTAAAAACACCACAAGAAATAGAAGATGCTACAAAAGAATTCACAATAGCTATACAGAAAGCAGCGAGGGCAGCAACACCGACTATTGACTACACTAACCCAGGAAAAAAATCTTGACCCTACAGTTAATCAAAAAATACTAGAGAAAAGGCAGAAACAAAAAAATGGCAGATATCGAGATGCGCAAGTGATAAAACAAAACCAAACAGAGCTACCAAAGATCTAACATGGTTACCAAATAATATCAAAACAAAGGTATACAGAATTATCTAAGTTCTCTTGCAGCCTCTGAAGATACAGACTACTCACTTTGGAAGGCAACAAAAAAGCTAAAACAACCACAACAATGTTGTCCTCCAATACAGCGTAAATGTGCCAGAGATAACAAAGAAAAAGTCGCAGCCTTTGCTGAACACCTAGTAAAAGTTTTTGAACCAAATGAACCCGATCCCAATGACAATTTTATCGAGATTAATAACTTCTTAGAAGCCCCGCTTCATCTGGACTTACCGATTAAAACTTCACGCCGACAGAAATAAGAAATACAATTATGAAAAATATAAAACCAAAAAAAGCCCCAGGCTTTGATCTGATAACACGCAAGTTATTGCAAGAATGTACAATAAAAGGTTACAAATATCTGCAGAGCATTTTCAACGCCAGCATAAAAATAGGCTACTTTCCGAGTCAATGGAAAATTTCACAGATTATCCTGACACCAAAACCTGGAAAAAAACCAGAAGACCTAAAATCCTATAGACCTATAAGTTTGCTGCTGATTCTATGAAAGATATTCGAAAAGTTTCTATTGATAGCATTGATTCCAATCTTAGAAAAAACTAAAGTTATTCCTGACCACCAATTCGGCTAAATCCTGAGACAATCGAGCAGGTGCACAGAATAGTAAAAAAAATCTCCTACGCACTGGAAAGTAAATCCTACCTCTCAGCAGCCTTTCTAGACGTCAGTCAAGCCTTCAATAAGGTTTAGCATGAAGGCCTACTTTAAAAGATAAAAAAACAATTGCTATATCCTAGTTGCTACTTTTGCAGACGACACCGCAATACTGGCCATACACTCTAATCCGACAAAAGCACCAGAAAATTTACAAGAAAACCTAAATAAAATAGAAACTTGGCTAAAAAAATGACGAGTTAGAGTTAATGATACCAAGTCAACACATCTAACCTTCACAATGAAACGAGGTGAATGCCCTCCGGTCCGATAGGAATGTTGTCGAGAAAACCGGGAATTGTGCAGCGGTTTCAATCGAGAATTGAGCGACTGTTTTAATCGAGAAATGGAACGTTAAAGTGATTATGATTGAGAAGCATTGGACCATTTAGTTAGAACCAATGTACCAATATTGAACTCATAATAGAAGAAAGTGCCCGATAAGCTAATGAAACTAAACGATCTTTCTGTAGAAAAGTTCTCCAAGCAATTGCTGGCCGGAAATCGGAAATGGCCGTATTCCTGTCTACGAACAGAATGGTTTTATTTCATTTCCGCCGAATTTTTGCCATTTCGTCTCAGCGGAAGACCAATTCAGTAATGAAGTGTTCCCAAACATCATCGCTTGACACAAAAATTACAATTGGTTGAATAAAAGAATAATTTTAGCAGCAAAGAACAAAAGAATAGACATTACTTTTAATCATTCAAAATAAAATCTTTTTTTCCTGGAAGCCATCTATACTAAACTGTTCGTACTGAAGCCAATTGGCTTATTGTACATCTTCCATTCCTTTATGATATCCATTCCAGGATTCTGGAACCTTGTACTAGCTTATAAAGGTCTAAGGGATGGGTATCGTATATATTTGGAGTCACTTCGTTGTCTCGAAAAGTGTTTGCCGTCTGCGATACAATGCCTTGCGGTCTTTTAAGATTCGGTTGACTGTTTCAGGTTATCTGCTACGGAGTCTGCAGCTCAAAGGTCCATGAACCAGTCCCATATGCACGTGTCCCTTAACTGGCAGTCCAGTAAGTAAGCCTGTTATGACTCAGCTGATTACTGCTTGTTTTCCGCTGTACTTCAGCCCTATTTTCACATGTCCGTCCAATATAAATCTTGCAATGTGTTTGACTGAGTGTATTTTCCCAGTGTGAGTAGTGTTGGCTTTGGATCCCACGACTGGCTTTGAACCGAAGTATTCTGTAGCTGAAGCTCTTCTGAAAGTGCTTCAGCTCTTTCATTCTTATATATTCTCCAATGACCTAAAGCCCATATCAGTGTAACACTTTTATGTTCCTTCAGTCTTTCGAGTTCGTGTCGACATTCTCTCACTAGCGTAGAGTTTGGGCTTATGAGAGTCCTAATGTCTGTTTGGCTATTTGTGCATATATTTGAGCACAACCACTGTTCGTTCCAATTAGTTGATTATCAGGTCTGCTTGAGCCTGATCTAGTCGAATATCAGGATAGTGTCTGTGTGCCGTTGCTATCCTGAATACTTTTGTAACATTGCTATATGATCTAGTCCGCTCATTAGAGTTCTTGGTATTTTAGCAACCCTTTGTTGTTGGTGGGTAATGGTATTCTGTCTTGCTCTCTGTTTACTTTCGGGTTTTGCCGGTAATCCATCTTTGGTTTTATGGTGATTTGCTATGGTCATGCCCCAGCAGCCATTTTTATCTTTCGTCATCTTTTTTTTGAGCTCCAGAGAGTCGTTTCTTTGCTACTTTGTGCAAAGCCTGTTCCTCTCGGAACTTCTTCTGGCTGCGTATTTGGGACAGATACATGAAGAAATTCGTGTACCCCTGACAATAAATCCCGGCGGTATCCAGGTCTACCTGGCCTTTCGGCATACGACCTTTTGCTAGCCACAAACTCCTACGAGTCCGACACCATTTGAGGGTGGCGCCTTGCCAGGAGCATACCCTCCCCGTAGTACCTGTGTTGCGGTACGAACACACGTCCGTTACCGTACCCGTTCAGATCGGTAACCGTAACGCCGAAGCACCCTGCTGCGTTTCTACAAACCCGACACCTCAAACGACGCCTCTTCATTCCTTCCCATTAGTCGTCTCTTACGACAGGCAGGGATAACTTGCCCTGGCTGTATTCTCATCTCCGCGAGCCGGATGGAGGAGAACAGATACAGAATCTACGACTAGAGTTGCCTTTCTGACTGTTCTCGTTGTTTGGGGTGTATTTTTGGTTGGGATTTCCTTGTCCATATTTATTGCACACTTACCGTGCTAAGGCTATAATAACCCAAAGTTTGCCAGCTCTATTAGGCTTTGCTTAAGGCAACACGTTCTCCCCTGGGCACGACGGTGTTACAGCTCAGAATTATGTCTAAGAACAACGAATCTTACCTGATAACAAGTCAGTTGTGATGCAGCTGCCTGTCATTTACCAATTGACCGTAATGAGAGTTAGTTTGTGTGTGTGTGTGTGTGTGTGTGTGTGTGTGTGTGTGTGTGTGTGTGTGTGTGTGTGTGTGTGGTTTGTATGTGTGTCTGTGCCATGTTCAATTGACAAATCTACGGTAATGACAGAGCTGCCGCTCCCATACAATGTTCTCTGTTGATCTACGGTTGCTCATTGGGTTGACGTTATTAACACATGTTCTATTTTTACATAAGACGTCTCTTAGCCATTAGGACGAGCTGTTTCGGAGTTGAGATCATCCCCATGTACCTGCACATATACAAATACATATATATATATATATATATATATATATATATATATATATATATATATATATATATATATATATTATATATATATATATATATATATATATATATGACTAAAGGTTGGCTAGGTCGTCATCATAATTAGAGATCTGAACCAACTAAAACTGTGTTACGGGACGCATTTGGTGGTGTGAAAACTCATTGGCAATATAATACACGCGACGATACTCAACGGAAAATTTAAGGATGGTGAAATTGTCAGTCCGAGTATTTCGATGATAACCAACAAATATGCGATTCGAATTTAAGCGAATTTAATGTTCGTGTAGTTTTGCATTCGCCACGACGATAAAAAAATGAAAAGACCAGAATGTTTGTGGTTTAAATATAGAAAATAATTTTTTCTCACATAATCATTTATACGTAGTTTATTGGCGTAGGCAAATAATCCAATTCTCGCACCTCTTAACACAACGTGAAATATAAAATATCACAGGGTTGTTCAATGAAAATAATTGACACGGGGTACTTTGTTTCTATTACACTATGGCCAAGGTGAATGGCACTATTCCTTCCACGATTTCATTCATTTTTAGATATATTAATTATATTACTATTTTTTTCATATTTACTTCTTAGTATATTTTTTTTATTTTATATTGTTTTTGATGTGTGTTGTGCTTTTCCTTTTATATAAATACTCGCTTTTTTTATCATGTTACTATTTTTCTGTTTTCCTGGTTTTATATTATTATAGTTATTTTATATTCTATTTTTATAGGAACCTCAGACGAACATATAACAGTAATGGAGACTTTAAAAACTGTTAAATGTGATGGTGCTATTATAGTAACTACTCCGCAGCAGGTCTCCATTGAAGATGTTAGGAAAGAAATTACATTTTCTAAAAAAACTGGAATTCCGATATTAGGACTTATTGAAAATATGAGTGGGTAAGTGCCGATAGAAGGCAATAAGGAAAGGTCTGAAATTATTGTAATTATTGCAAAATTAGTCGAGAGAAATGAGATACTAAGAAATGTTCATCAATATATTTGTCTTCTTATATCTAAAGAACATAGGTATATCGATATTCAACATAACAGTGTCTCGTGTTACGCAGTATTATACTAACGCATTCAATACAACCGATTATTGACATCGTTTTATCTTTTGAAATATCTGATAATTTCTGGTTTGCGATATTCTGAATTCGTATTATTAATACGCAATTTACCGAATTACTGTAAATATGTAAATCGTACACTTATAGTATTGCAGAGAGATTAAATAAAACGAGCGGTTCGAATTTATATAAATATATTTATAGTTTACGAAGTTTACAGTTCGGTAATATCTTAACAACTATACTAACTCATAACATCGTTACATATATATATATATATATTATATATATATATATATATATATATATATAGTATTATTCTAGAATTATCTAAAGTAGTCCCACCTCTAATTCGTTGTTTAACGGGTGGTTTTCTACAGCGCTCGATATATGCCTGAATATACGCTGAATGCATGTTCGTAACACTGCGATCTGAGCGTCCCGATCAGCAACTCTAAATGTAGGCCCAGGATGGCGGAATCTGGCAGAAAGAAATAACAGTCTACTGACTTTGAAGGATACGACCTCTTCAGGTTAATGCAACACACAGTAATTCGTACGCCGGTTTCTCGGAAGATCACTTCAAGCATGCTTCTGACCATCTTCCAGTCCAGATTATCTAGTGCATGGCCTATCTTGGGTAAGGCCAAATTCTTGATGTAACTGCACACAATTTTCTTCAAATTAGTTAGAGCATGCCATATATCTTTGTAGTTTGCCCTGTCTGTATACGACTTTCTGGTCACCATATACAGCAAAGATCGAGAACCATCTTCTAATCTCAGTACTCTTCCAACTTTAGGTTGCTGGTTTTTTAACTCTTCCAAACGACCGAACTTCTTATAAAATACGGATGAGACTCCTTTAGTCATCTCAAGATCTTGGGCAACACAGTGGGCTAGAGAGACGTTATGCGGAACACTAAAAAGGTCCTACTGAACTTATGTCGACACGCCGAATCTAGCACTCTTTCTCTCTGCGTAATTTGACATAAATTCATTAAAGCTTGGTCGCCGGTCATCTTTGATCTCATGTTGAAGGGTTCGTGTTTCTTCTGTTTTCGTGTTTTCGTGAAAGATCACCTACTTTATAGCTTTCATTCTTGCATCGAGAATCATATTAATCTTTCATTCTGTCACTGGCTAACTGGATGTGTTGTCGGGCAAGTTTATGAATGTTGTTCATTCTTAACTTCAGGCGGTCGACATAATCTTCGCTTGCAACATGTTCTTCGGAAGGTCTGCAGTCAAACTGTAGACAAAGAATAAATGAATGTGCTGGTCTCAATCTCTTTGATGTTTTGATACAACTTTGGACAGGTGTTTACCCATCGTTCGGTCCGTCCTCTCGACCATTCCATCTGATGGATCCAGGGGTGTCGTTCTGGTTTTATTGATACCAATCAATATATAAACGTTTTGAAAAAGGTTTGACTCGAAGTTTCGCCCTTAGTCGTAGTGGATCTCCAAGGGAACACCAAATCGGCTAAAGAATTCTTTAACCAGTACCTCTGCAACGGTAGCAGCTTCTTGATTTGGTATCGCATAGACCTCAGTCCATTTCGTAAAATAATCCATGGCTACCAGGATATATTTATTTCCATCATGTGTCTCGAAGTGGACCTGCAATGTCGATTCTCTTTCCATAGGACTACCAACATTGTACTGTTTCATGGGTGTTCTCTTTTTACCAACTGGACCATTACTGGTTGCACACCGTTCACATTTCCGGCACCATCTTCTTACATCATCTTTACAGTTCACCCAATAGAACCGTTCTCGAACCTTTTGCAGAGTCTTCATAATACCAAAGTGTCCACCTGATGCACCGTCATGTAACTGACGCAATACTTCTGACACTTTACTTTTAGGTACAATCAACTGAAGCTTAGATTCTGTACCATCATCGTTCTCAAAGGTTCTATACAGAGAAGATCATCTTTTAGCACTAGGCAATTCCATTGACTCCAGTATCACTTGACTTCGGGACTACATGCACTAATGTCTTGCCAAGAAGGCCTTTCACTTCCACGCATCCAATAAAATATTCTTTGTATACATGGATCATCTGCTTGAGCGTCTTGTAGCTGTTGAGGCTGCCATTGATCATTAATAACGGTGGTTCTTCTCACGGGGCAAACTCGTTCTTCTAATTCAAGACGATGATTACGATTTGCACTGTATGGCCGTCTTGACAGCATCAGCATTTGAATAACTTTTTCCAGCCCAGTGTTCGATCTGTTCTAGCTTTCTGACTGTTGTATTATTTTCTTGTAATTTATGACGAATGTGACCTATGTCGTTACCGTTCGAACATCTGGGTTCACGTTTCTTCGGCATGATGTTACGAACTACTTTCCGTACGATTTCCTCCAGACGTTTATCGTTTTGTACGTGGCTCTCTTCAGAGGTTCGTGAAACTTGACTAACTGTCTCGTATTCCAAGGCAATGGCGAGCGCTTCATCCAAAACTTTTGGTCTTGCTAGTCGTAAAGCTTTCTGTAGTTCATTGTCTTTTAACCCATTGACGAAGGTATCTACAGCAATTTCTTCCAACATGTTGTCTGCTGCCTCTTGATAAGCTAACCGCACTATACGACCAACATATGCTTTAAACTCTTGCAAATTTTCACTTGCTCGTTGAATTCTACTTTTTAGTTGCGCCTTGTAGACTTGTTGTAGATGGGCAAATCCGTAACGTTTGTCTAGTTTAGTGAACAAGGTCTGGTAACATTTTTCTTGGCCCTTAGGAGTCGATTTTAGGAGATCTGCAGCATCTCGTAAAGCAGCAGTCAAAGAAACAGCTTTTCCTTGTTCTGTCCAATGATTGGCTGTCACAATAGCTTTAAATTGTCTAAGGTATATGGACTAAGAGGACTTTCCATCAAATGGTGGCAATTTGAATCTCATATGATGTGTCGTTTCAACTCTCGGTGATTCTTCTTTCACTACCGGATCTAAGGCTACTGTATTAACTGGTGGTAACACTTTTGTGTTAGTTATCATGATCTCTAATTGTTTGATCTTCTCTTCTATGTCTTCTATCTTGTCGTTTACATTTTTCTGTATCTTATCAAATGGTCTTGAGACTTCTTCAAATTTTTTGTTGTTTTGATTACATACTTCTTTAATTATATGAGAAGTCTCGTCGAATCTTCTAGCAACATTTTCGAATTTCTCGTCATTTTGTCTAGCTGCTTCTTTAATAATTTGAGACGTTTCATCGAATCTTTTGGAAACATTCTCGAATTTTCCATCAATTATTTTAGTTAAAACGGCTTCTTCTGCTGATTGAAACTGGAATGTCTCTGGGTTGTCTCCATTCTTGTTGACAACAGCCTTCAGTCGTTCTTGGAGTATCTTCTTGGACCCGCTGCAGTCTTCATCGCGTTCTTCTATTTGCTCACGCAACTGTTTACTGAAAGTTCTACTAGCAGCATCTTTGGCCAGGCACACACGTACTTTTTTTAAATGTTCTTTCGTACAAAGACCACTACCGAACTACGCGGATGTTCCCGACGAACAATTTTTTTTCAAAAGTCACTACTGAATTTATATTTTTTTTACTCACACCGTAACATCAACTGTAGCGATATTAAATAAAACGAGTTGTTCGAATCTATATAAATATATTTATTTATAAGTTTACAGTTTGGTAATATCTTAACAACTATACTCAACAACTCATAACATCGTTACATATATATACCAAAAGTATTTTTGTAGAATCGTCTAAAGTAGTCCCACTTCTAATTCGTTGTTTAACGGGTGGTTTTCTACAGCGCTCGATATATTATGCACGGAAAGTTCTCGTCGCTTCGAGATGCAACGCTTACATGGACCACGCTGAATGCATGTTCGTAACAGTATTTACAATACTAATGTATAAAAATACTGTTACGTTTTTCTGAGGATTTAGAGATTAAGTGAAGCAAACGTGGTTTAACTAACTATATTTTAACTTACTAAACTGCAAAGACTCACCAAATTACAAATAACAAATTCTAATTATATTAATAATTTTCGCTTATAATTCACCGGATATAAGTTTACAAAATCACTTCGCTAAAACTAATCATCAAAGGCCGACTAAAAGGCTGAGTTAATAAAACAACTGTTCTCGAAATAGATAAAATTTCTAGCTTTACGTACCCTCCGAAGCACGGTGGTGGCTCAGTTAAATTAGCAGTTAAAAAATTCAGAGTGTCTGTGCCGGGATCGAATGCGGGTCTGCCGGCTTGGTAAGCCAGTACATAGCCACTGAGTTATGATCGCCACTTGTCATCATTATTGATACTACAGCCCTCTAGTAGAGCATCGACCTTAATAAGTCTATTTCGCCAGTCAGCCCTATCCAGTGCCAACATCACCATCCTTCCATCTTAGTTTTGGCCTACCTCTTCATCTATTCCCCAATGGCTGTGACATAGATAGAGGTTTTCATCTCTCTTGAGATGATTCATATTTCCGATCCATATGTCAGCACTGGTAGTACAAGGGTTTTGTATATTCTTATTTTTGTTTTCTGCTTAAGTTAATTTGTGAGGATTCGTTAAAAATATTTCCTTTGTTGGCACGCCAGGATATCTCGTTGTCGCAATCTGACATGTGTTTCAAACGCTTGTGATTATTCACCCTATATTTGTATTTTGCAAAAAAAAACTTTACGACTTTTCGTTGTTGATCGACCAGACCTATAACCACTTTAATATTCACCAAGAAGCTCCACTGAATATGCACTTAAGCGACCATAAAAAATACTCGAAAATATTTTGTATACTGTGTTAATAAGGGTTATACCACTGCAGTTTCTGCATTCCCATTGATC